AGCCACTTCCCAAGGCAGCACAGCAAGCATTAGGGAGCCAGGCTCGAGCCCAGGGCCACCTGGTTGCCGAGCTGGTGCCTCTTTTCCCTCACTGGAGGCCTCAGATGAGGGAGTCCCAGGGCAGTGCTGACCACCAGGAGCTCCTCGCTGAGGATGGGACGCGGAATGACCACTGAGGAATGGGCAGGACCAGGCACTTGACCTGCAGATCTGTCCACCTCTGTCCCCATAATGGATTCTCCCACAGACAAGGGATGAGAATTGAGATCCCTCCAGGTGACAGATGAGGAAACTGAGGCTTGGAGGGGAGAAGGGCCAGGCCCCTGACTCCACAGCCAGGGCGTCCCCCCCAAAGTCACACTGTGCTGTCTTCTTGCTCCAAATGCCCAGCACTCAGACCTGGCCTGTGCAGTCAACACCAGGGATGCCTGGAGCAGGGGCTGTGAGCAGATCAGGATGCCCCAGGACCACTCATGGGGGTCACTGTGTGACCCCCTTGGAATCCTGATCCCATCCACTCTGCCATTTCTACCTGGGAGCTCTCCTTCTGGCTGCACAGGGCAATCGGGTTCCTACAAGCCCCTGCCTGTGCTTCCACCATCACACACTGACCCATCAGGAGTTGGAAGGGCCTGGGGTTTCTCGGCCTCCTCATGTATTAGAGAAGTTCTCAAGGACACAGACAAAGTCTGTCCCATTGTCCCCTGTGACTCCACTCCTCAGAAAGGAGTATATGCTCAAGATGCCGTTGTCGTGTTCATTCAATTCATTAATCTCCACTTCCCTCTCCCGGGGTTGGTGGACCCTTCCCCATCTTTCTCACCCTGAGGTTCCCTCACCAGCCCCTCCTGAGCCCACACCTGGTGGGACTGCCCCACCAGGGAACCTAGAAGCTGTGATTGGCCAGACAGCCTCCTTTCCTGGGGTGGACAGTGTTGTGGGAGGGACAGGTCATGGAAAGGGAGCAGGGGACAGCAGGGCTAATCCTCCTTGCTGTGTGTGACCCTCATTGGCACCCCATCTGAAAGTAGAAGTGGTTATTCTCCAAGGACCATACCAGCTCCAACGGCATGTGGGAGTCAAGTTCCTCTTCTATGAGTCACATTTCTGACCTCAGCCTGGGCTTCCTGCTGGGGCTTCCTCTCAGTCCTGTGACACCAAGGCCCTGTGACTCTTACCCCAGAGATGCTGCCACTGCTGCTGCTGCTGCTGTGGGAAGGTGAGCAGGTCAAGGGGAGAGAGGACTGCCAGGCGGGGACTGAGGCTGACTCTCATTTCCCCGCAGGGTCTCTGGCTCAGGATGGGAGATTCTGGCTGCAAGTGCAGTGGTCTGTGAAGGTAGAGGAGGGCCTGTGTGTCTCTGTGCCATGCACATTCTCCCATCCCCGGGACTACTGGACGGACGCTGCCCTAGCTCATGGCTACTGGTTCCAAGAAGGGGCCAATACAGACAAGGATGCTCCTGTGGCCACAAACAGCCCAGATCGTGAAGTGCAGGAAGAGACCCAGGGCCAATTCCACCTCCTTGGGGACCCTCAGACCTACAACTGCTCCCTGGACATCAGAGATGCACAGAGAGGCGACAAGGGGAGATACTTCGTTAGGGAGGAAAGAAGGTCTTAATAATATGGATATAATTACAGAGAGAACCTCCTCTCAGTGCGTGTGACAGGTAAAGAATGGGATCAAGGAGACGACACATGGTTGGGTTCTGAAGGCCCCGGGGCAGGGCCAGGAGAGGATCTCCTGTTCCTCATCTTGGGAGGGACCCAAGGGGACCCAGGAAGACAGGATGCTGAGGTTGGCTGGCGAGAAGACAGCTGGCCTGAGGCAGAGGTTGCTCTTAGAGTCACACTTGGGGTTCCCATCTCCAAGCCTGGCTCTTGTCTCTCTCCTCCTCAGCTCTGACACAGACACCTGACGTCCTCATCCAGGATACCCTGGAATCTGGCCAGCCCAAGAACATTACCTGTGCAGTGCCATGGGCCTGTGAGAGGGGGCGCCCCCAACCTTCTCCTGGATTGGGGTCACCCTCTCCTCTTCTGACCCCAAAACTCCCTACACCTCAGTGCTCACCTTCACCCCGGGGCCCCAGGACCACAGGACCAGCCTCATCTGTCGAGTGACCTTCTCTGGAGCTGGTGTGAGCACAGAGAGGACTCTCTGTCTCAATGTGTCCTGTGAGTGCCAGGCCAGGATGGCCGGGTCCCTGAATTTGATGGGTGTGGGGAGGGGGAGGCAAGACCTGGGGTACTGGGTGCTGGGTCCCGCAAGCTGGCTCTGAGGCGGAAGGAAAGAGGACACTCGACTCCACCCTCTTCCTATTACTAAAGTTTCTGGGGGAAAAGGCCCAACACCCACCTTCCTGCCCCTGAAAAGGGAACAATTATGTCTGTCTGTCCAGATGTGCCCCAGAATCTGACCATCAGCGTGTTCTGGGGAGAAGGCACAGATAGGGTTCAACCTCTCCCCTCCAGGGGGTGTGGTGGAAATGGGGTCTGTCTCCTCCCTTCAGAGCAGAGCTGGGGTCAGAACTCATATGGGAGAAAGGCTCAGGCCAGGTGTGGGCACAGCAGAGGTGGGAAGTCCACCACTGGATTGTCAGATTACAAACTCGCCTCCCCCACTGCTGACCCTGCTCTCGAGGGGTTTGCATGGCCTCTTCCATGTCCAATGGATGTGCTGTTACCATGCCAGGGATACCTTCTCGTCCCAAATCCTGTCCTCATTCTCCTTGGGATCTGGACCCCTCCTACTCCTCCAGCCTCTTTGGAACATTTTAATGTTAGTGTTTAAAAAAGTAGGCGTAAAACATGCCTTAGTCTACTCTGGCTGACATAATAAAATACCACAGACTGGGTGGCTTAAACAACAGAAATTTGTTTCTCATGATTCTGGAAGCTGGAAGTCCAAAATAAGATGCCAGCCATCGGGTTCATGGTAAGGACTCTCTTCCTGCATTGTAGATGACTGCCTTCTCTCTGTGTCCTCACAGGACTAGGAAAGAGCCAGCTCTCTGGTGTCTCTTCTCATAAGGGCACCAATGACATCATGGAAGCCCTAATCTCGTGACCTCATCTGACCCTAATCACCTCCCAAAGGCCCATTAAGATACCTCCAAATACCTGCACACAGGGGGTTAGGGCTTTGACATATGAATTTGGTGGAAACTCGATTCAATACCTAGCAAAATTTAATACTAATGAAATAGCATTCAGCACCTTGTGTACCTCCATCATGGTTATCTTCCCATATTTAACCTATAGATATACATTTAAAGACAGACACATACATACACATCATACACACAGTGCTCTCCATCTTTAATATTATTTTTAATAAACTTTTCATGTTGAGTAATTTTAGATTTACATGGTAGAGAGTTTCCATAATCCCTCACCCAGCTTCCCTTATCGTTAAAGTCTCACATCGTCTTGGCATATTTGTCACAAATGTGGAAGTGACGTTGGTACATTTCTGTCAACTAAACTCATCTTTTTCTCAAACTCAGTCTATCTTGGAGATCCTTCTGTATCAGTACATAGGAAACCTTCTTCATTCTTACTGTGAACTACACTCATCTTTTTCTCAAACTCAATCTATCTTGGAGATCCTTCTGTATCAGTACATAGGAAACCATTCTCCATGGTTTTCCAATTGGAAGTATATTACACTATAAAGTACTTAATTGGTCCCCTGCTGGTGGAAAACTATGGTGTTTCCAGTCTTCTCCTGAGACAAATAATCCTGCACTGAATAACTTGTATGAACATTCCCCATGTGTGTGCATGTGTCCGTCAGATAATTTTCTAGAGAAGAAAGTCCTGGATCAAAGAGTATGTGTGTAATTTCTACAGATGTCAAATCCCACTGCGTGGAGGTGGTTCTGTTTATACTCCCACCTGCATTGTGCCTCCTTCCCTGCTGAACATGTTCATCCTTGCTGATCTTAAGGGAATTTACTGCCATTTTAAGTTGCAGTGTCATTTCCAAGAGTAGTTGTAAATTGGCTTGTCTGTGGGAGGAGGTGAGTTCAGAATCTGCCTATGCTGCCATCTTAACTTCTCTCCCTCCCAGTATTTGTTTTAAACTCACAGCTCATCTCTGATCTGACTCACCACATTTCTTGTGCTCGATAGCTACATGCGACCAGGGCTACCATATTAGCACAGACCAAGGGAACCAAGTCCAGATTCTTCAGCCTGATGTTCTGTAATACGGCCCCTGCCGCGTTCTCTAGCTGGCCTCCTGTCCCTCCCCACAAAACGAGCTTATTATATACTGTGATATTGTGACTTATAGTAAGAAATAGATATTTGGTCTTTATGCCCATTCTGGCATTGAGCTCCTAGAACCCCTGGAATTTCTTGTGATGGGAGCAATAAAAGTGTCTTTCTTTATGTTAATGAGATGACTTTGGGAAAGTGCCGAAGGAAGGGGGTGGGATGGTTGCCAGGGGAACCAGCCACATGATCACAGGGTTGGAATTTTCAGTGTCACCCCCCTAACCTCCAGAGAGGGGAGAGGGGCTGGAGGTTGAACCAATCACCAATAGTCAATGTTTTAATCAACCCTGCCTAGGTAATGAAGCCTCCATAAAACCCAAAAGGACAGGGTTTGTAGAGTTTCTGGGTTGGTGAACAGATGGAGGTCTGTGGAGAGTGGCACAATTGGAGAACGTGGAAGCTCTGTGTCCCTTCCCTGTACCTTGCCTTATGCATCTCTTCCATCTGGCTCTTGCTGGGTTATATCCTTTTATAAAAATCTGGTGATCTAGTAGGTAAAATGTTTCTCTGAGTTCTGTGAGCCACTCTAGCAAATTAATTGAACCCGAGGAGGGGGTCGCGAGAACTTCTGATCTATAGCCATTTGATCAGAAGCACAGGTGACAACCTGGACTTGCAATAGCATCTGAAGTTGGGGAGGACAGTCTTGTGGGACTGAGCCCTTAACCTGTGGGATCTGATGCTATCTCCAGGCAGAGAGAATCAGAATGGAGTTGAATTGTAGGACACCCAGCTGGTGTTGGAAACTTGCTTGTTGGTGCGGAACTCATTTCCAACATTGTAATTGGTTCCAGAATCCTTCTATATCCAGGAAGAGCTGGCTTTTCTGTCCTTTTGTGCCTTCACCTGGGTGATTCTCTCTGTCCCTCCTCTTGGCACTGGTCGGACCTCTGTCTTGCATACTCCCGGTTAAATATTCCTCTTCCTTGTGCCAAGCAGACTGTCATCTTGCATCCCTGTGATAGTCACAGGCCTGTCCCCACCACACTATGAGCTCCTTGAGGGCAGGGGCAGGTCTACTGCAGGCCCCTGTAATTCTCACTCACAACACCCCGCTTCTGTTCATCAGATCACAATGTGCAATTTGATAAGTTTCTGTGTGTGTGTGTGTGTGACAATCTGATACTGTCTCCTTGCCCTGATAAACTTTATGAGGTCAGGGATCTTGTCTGATGAAGAGTTACTTGACCTTGCTCACTCAGTCTGTTTTCATATCTGTAAAATGAGAATAGTAGTTATATCATCCATTGAGGGAAGATGTAAGAATTCAGTGAGATTAGTAATAAGAAGAGACTATTATGATTAAAATTTGTTAAAGGTATGACTGAATGAGTGAGTGAGTAAATGAATGAGTGAATCCTCAGGAAATGGGTGTGAAATGGAGAAATGAATCAATGCCCCCTCAAGCCCCAAGTTCCCTTCTCCAGACCACAAAGGCCAGCTCTGACACCCTTCTCTCATCCCACTCAGGGTCACCTGAATGAATCCAAGTCAAACAGCCCCTCAGACCACCCAACCCCAGCTGCCCCCGCCTCCACCTCAGAGGAGGAGCAGAAACTCCATTATGCCTCTCTGAGGTAACAGAGGATGACATCACGCGACTTTCAGGAGCAGGAGACCACTGAGTACTCAGAAATCAAGGTCTGGAAATGACGACCCTTTCCTCAACTGCCCTGAGTTGAGTGGAGCCCAGAAAAGGCATCTCTGAGGAAATGTGTAACAGGCACCAATTCTTGAAGAGTTGACATCCCTCTGAGCCAAAGTTTATAAATGGGAATGTGATGTCCCTGGGAGTGGCTGAAGGTCACAGAGATTCCTAGGTTCAAACCCAGGCTCAGCTACTTACTAAGGATGTTAGATCAGGCAGTCACTTTACCTCTCTGTGCCTTGGTTTCTTCCTCTGTAAAGTGGGGGGATATTCATGAGGTACATTGTTAAATGGGAAAAAAATGCATCATTGACATTGTTAAGTACATCATGTGTTAAATTTCCCTCAGGATAGAGGGAGATGGAGAGCTTGTGGCTCTACTACATACATTTATTTTGCTTGATCATATCTGGGAACATGTATTATTTAATTTTTGTTTTTCCTTTTTTTTTAGGGGAGGAAACATGTATTATTTTAAAAAAAATAAGTCTATTTCTAAATGTAACTCTCAGGCAGGAGAAGATATTTCCCAATGCATGTATCTAACCAAGGATTAGTCCAGAGTATATAAAGAATATATAAAAATCTTCCACAAATCAATAAGAGAAAGGCAGATAACCTAATAGAAGAACAGGATATTCAAAGAGCCAATAAACATATAGAAAATTGTTTGAGTTCAGCAGCTCCCAAGGAAATGCAAATAAAAATCACAATGTTGTGCCACTGCACAGCCACCAAGTTGGCTAAAATAAGAAAAACAATATCAAGAATCTCAAGTATTAAGGACATTACACTAAGTGAAATGGGCCACACACAAAAAGACAAATACTGCTTGATTCCCCTTATATCAGGTATCTAAAGTAACCAAACTTCTAGAAACAGAAGGTAGAGCAGGATCAGGGGAGGGGGAAATAGGAAGCTGCAATTCAATAGGTATAGAGTCTCAGTTTTGCAAGATGAGAAGGTTCTAGAGATCTGATGGACAGCAATGTGCATATAGTTAACACTACTGTACCGAACACTTAAAAATGGTTACGATGGTAAATTTTATGTTATTTTTTTTTCCAAGATAAAAAAAACGTAGTATATAGTGGGTTTACAGGGGCTAGTGATTGGGGGAATGAATGGGAAGTTAGTGTTTATTAGGTACAAAATTTCAATTTAGAATGATGAAAAAGTTCTAGAGATAGATGATGGTGATGGTGGCACAATGTAAAAGTACTTAATGTCACTGAATTGAACACTTAAGAAAATGGTTAAAACATTATGCTTCTCAAACTCTTCCAAAAAATTGAAGAGGAAGGGAAGTTTCCTAACTCATTCTATGAAGCCAACGTTACCTTGACACCAAAACCAGACAAGGGCAACACACACACACACAAAATTACAGGCCAATATCATTGATGAACATCAACGCAAAAATCCTCAACAGAATACCATCAAATCAACTACAACAAACACTAAAAATATCATACCCCATGATCAAATGGGATTTATTCCAGGGGTGCAGGCTTGGTTCAACATCTGAAAATTAATCAATGTGATACACCACTTTAACAAAATGAAGAATAAAAATCACATGATCATCTCAATAGACGCAGAGAAAGCATTTGACAAGACACAGCATCCATTTATGATAAAAACTCTGAATAAAGTGGGTATAGAAGGAAAGTACCTCAACATAATAAAGTGCATATATGAGCAATCCACAGCTAATATGATTCCTGTTGGAGAAAAAGTGAAAGCTATCCCTTTAAGAACAGGAAGCAGACAAGGATGCCCACTTTCGCCACTCTTATTTAACATAGCATTGGAAGTCCGAGTCAGAGCCATCAGGCAAGAAAAAGAAATAAAAGAGATCCATGGCCGGCCCAGTAGCACAGCAGTTGAGCGTACTCTGCTTTGGCGGCCCAGCATTCGCAGGTTCAGACCCCGGGCTGGCACCGATGCACCGCTTGTCAAGCCATGCTGTGGTGACGTCCATGTAAAGTTGAGGAAGATGGGTATGAATGTTAGCCCAGGGTCAATCCTCATCAGCAAAAAAGAGGAGGATTGGCATTGGATGTTAGCTCAGGGCTGATCTTCCTCACAAAAAATAAATATAGATAAATAAATAAAATAAATAAATAAATAAATAAATAAATAAATAAATAAATAAATAAAAATAAAAGTTCCAAATTGGAAAGGAAGAAGTGAAACTGTCACTATTTGCAGATCACATGATTTTGTAAGTAGGAAAACCCTAAGGAATTCACCAAAAAACTTTTAGAAATAATAAATGAATACAGTAAAGTAGCAGGATACAAAATCTACACGCAAAAATCAGTTGCCTTCCTATACACTAACAATGAAGTAGCAGAAAGAGAAATTAAGAATAAAATCCCATTTACAATTACAACAAAAAGAATAAAATACCCAGGAATAAACTTAACCAAAGAGGTGAAAGACCTGTACACTGAAAACTATAAAACATTGTTGAAAGAACTAGAAGAAGACACAAAGAATTAGGAAGATATTCCATGCTCTTGGGCTGGAAGAATTAACATAGTTAAAATGTCCATACTTCCTAAAGCAAACTACATATTTAATGCAATCCCTGTCAATGTCCCAACAGTATTTTATACTGTTAGGACAGTATAGAACAAAGAATCCTAAATTTATAAGGAACAAAAAAAGCCCTCAAAAAGCCAAAGGAATCTTGAGAAAACAGAGAAAAGCTGGAGGTATCACACTCTATGACTTCAAAATATACTACAAAGATATAGTAATCAAAACAACATGGCACTGGCACAAAAACAGACACACAGATCATTGGAACAGAATTGAGAGCCCAGGAATAAACAAACACATCTCTGGATAGCTGATTTTCGACAAGGGAGCCAAAAAAAATACCATGCAGAAAGGAAAATCTCTTCAATAAATGGTGTTGGGAAAACTGGGCAGCCACATGCAAAAGAATGAAAGTAGTCCATTATCTTACACCATACACAAAAATTAACTCAAAATGGATTAGACTTGAATGTAAGACCTGAAACAATGAAACTTCTAGAAGAAAACATAAGCAGTACACTTTCAACATTGATCTTAGCAGCATATTTTCAAGTACCATGTCTGAACAGGCAAGAGAAACAATAAAAAAAATGAATAAATGGGACTACATCAAACCAAAAATCTTATGGATAGCAAAGGAAACCATCAACAAAACAAAAAGACAACCTAAAAAGTGAGAAGAGACATTTGCAAACCAAATATCTGATAAGGGGTTAATATCCAGAATATATAAAGAACTCATGCATCTCAACCTCAAAGAAACAAACAACCCAATTAAAAAATGGGCAAAAGTCCTGAACAGACATTTCTCCAAAGAAGATATACGGATGGCCAACAGGCACATGAAAAGGTGTTCAACATCACTAATTATCAGGGAAATGGAAATCAAAACTACAATGAGATATCACCTCCCACCCGTCAGAATGGTTATAATTAACAAGACAGGAAATAATAAGGGTTGGAGAGGATGTGGAGACAAGGGAACTCGCATACGCTGCTGGTGGGAGTGCAAACTGGTGCAGTCAATATGGAAAACAGTGTGGAGATTCCTCAAAAAATTAAGATTAGAACTACTATACGATACAGCTATTCCACTGCTGGCTATTTATCCAAAGAATGTGAAGACATGAATGCTTAAAGACATATGCACCCCCATGGTCATTGCAGCATTATTTACAATAGCCAAGACTTGGAAGCAACCTAGGTGCTCATTAAGGGAAGAACAGATAAAGAAGATGTGGTTTATATACTCATTAGAATACTACTCAGCCACAGACATGGATGAAATCTGGCCATTTTTGACAACATGCATGGACTTTGAGGGTATTATGCTAAGTGAAATAAGTCAGAGGGAGAAAGTCAAATACTATATGAAATCACTCAAAAATAGAAGATAACAACAACAAACACATAGAGACAGAGATTGGATTGGTGGTTACCAGAGGGGAAGAAGGGAGGGAGAGGGTGAAAGGGGTGATAAGGCACGTGTATGGTGATGGATTGTAATTAGTCTTTGAGTGGTGAACGCGATGTAAGCTACTCTGAAATCGAAATATAATGATGTACACATACAACTTGTATAATGCTATGAACCAATTTTACCACAATAAAAAATAGTTAAATAAATAAAAGAAAAAAAAGAGAGGATGGTGTGGACAGAATAGAGTTCATAAATAGGCCCACACGTTATACGTGGTCCACTGAACAGCACCCAGTCTGTTCATCTGGGAAAGGAAGGACTTCTTAACTAATGTGGTAGAGCAAGTGGATCAAGGTTTGCAAAAAATGAACTTATAAATATTATAATTTGTTTATATAATTGGAATCATGCAGTATGTACACATGTGGCTTTTTCTCTCAGTATTGTGTTTTTTGAGATTCATCCATGTTGTGCATATCGGTGTTTTGTTCCTTTATTGCTGAGAGGGTTTCCAGCGTATCACACTTTGTTTACCCACTTTTCTGTTGATGCACATTTCCAGGTTTTGGGTATTATGAATAAAGCTGCTGTGAACATATTTGTTCAAGACTGTTTCCAGGTGTGTTTTCATTTCTCTCAAGTGTTGGGGAGCAGGCCTGAGATGGAGACAATGAGGTCAAAGTCACATGTTAGGAGCTCGAGGGTCTCTGGGACTCCCCATGGAGACCAGCATCCAGCCGGCAGCTAGAAAGATGGACGGTCTGGAGCTCAGGAGGAAGGTAGGGACTGAAGATGGATCAGGGGGTCCAATAACTCTGATAATGAATGCCTGTTGTTGTGGGTTGAATTGCGTTCCCCTAAAAGATATATTCAAATCCTCATCCCTGGTACCTGAGAATATAATTTTATTTGGAGATAGGGTTACTGCAGATGTAATAAAGTTACTATGACATCAAGCTGGATGAGGGACCCTAAATCCAGTGACTGATGTGTTTATACAAAGAGGGAAATTTGGACACAGACACACGCAAGGAAGAAGGTCGTGTGACAATGGAGGCAGAGACTGGAATTATGATGCCACAAGGCAAGGAATGCCAAGAATTGCTGGCAACCACCAGAAGCTAGAAGAGGCAAGGAAGGATTCTTCCCTCGAGCCTTCTGAGGAGCATGGTCCTGCTGAAGCCTTGATTTTGGTCTTCCAGCTCCACCACGGTGAGAGAATAAATTTCTGCTGTTTTAAGTCGCCCAGTTTGTGTAATTTGTCACATCAGCACTAGGTGACTAACACATTCATTCAGCACCTGCTGGGCATCAATTCCTCACATGTCCTCTCTCATTCTATCCTCAGAGTGACTCTTGAGAGGGTCAGCCCTGTTCCCATGTCACAGAGGAGGCTTAGGTGAGCTGCTCAAAGCCACACAGGCCAGCAAGGGAAGGAGCCAGAAAAATCAAGATAGATGACTCCAATAGCACAAGCGGTCTGGATCAGTATGCCCTTGGAGTTTGCCTTGTGTCCAAGTACTGTTCTAACTTATTGGTGAACATTCAGACAGTCAAGCAGTTCCTATGAGCAGTGACGACCACAGCTGCTAGCCTGGCCTCCATATGCCCATAGATTCAGCCAGGAAGGAGTCTCTCTCTCTCTCTTCTCCTTCTTGTTCCCTCCCTCCCTCCCTGCTCCTTTTTTCTTTCCTTTTTTCCTTCCTTTTTTTCTTTTCTTTCTACTTCCCACCCTTCTCAGGCTCGTCCTGGAGAAGAGAGAAACAGATGTCCCAACATTGCCATGTCTTCTTCATCTATCTGTGCACAATGCTGAGGTCCTGCCTGGACAATATTTCCTCACTGCCCATTCCCAAGAGCAAGTCTATGCCTGATCTGTGATACTGGGAGAAGGAATATTTGTCTATTTTGTTCATCATAACAATACTTGGCGAGTAATAAGCTCTCAATAAGTATTTTAAATGCTAAAAAATGAAATGATGCTGTTGCTTGCAAACTCTCTGTCTCCAGCCCAGGACTACTTTTTCCAACCCCAGCACTTTCATAACTGTTCTGATATTGTCTATAATGGCATCCTCAATGCTTCCCATCTCACTAGATGATGAGCCCATGGGGACAAGCATTGGGTCTGTTTTGACTCTCAGAGCAGTTCAGAAAATTTTGTTGATAAGTTATGTCCCAGAGAAAGCTCTGAGTCAGGTCGATAGGTCCCAAGAAGGCAAAGACAAGCAAAGTCAGAATCCACTACTTTCAGAGAAAGCAGTAAGCAAGCCTGCTCTTTGTCCTGGAGGGAGACATAGTCTCATCCCTCAAGGTTGTTCCCTGCAAACACAGCCCTGAGAACTTGGCCATGTAACTAGCAGTCAGAGCGTCATGTTTTGGGCAGACCCAGCAAGACGTGTAGGAGTACAAGGGACTCAGGAGGACTGTCTTTCCCAACAGGTGGTTTTGCTCTTCTTTAATGATGTGAAGATCTCAGAATCTTCTCATAAAATCCTCCTTCACTAGGATAGACTAAGGATTTTGTTGCTTGTGATCAACATATTACTATATAAGCCCGGGCCATTTGACTTGTTCCCATTGGAAAACCAAGAGGATGTAGTGAATAGAGAAACCCCAATACCGACATTTCACAACTCTGATTTCTCTCTTCATGCTTTGTTTGAGGAAGTGGAAAGGGAGATGACTGGAAGGGAAGTGACACTGTGGGAAAACAAATATTCATTTTTTGATCATAAATCAATTGCACTTTCTTACTTCTATCAACAGCCAGACTTTGGTTACTTCCCTCAACTCCTCCACATGCCTCAAAGGAGCTGGACTCCAGAGTGTGGGATTCTTGTGTGAGATCCATCAGTTTAGGACGTTAAGGTGGGAAATTGACTGAGGAATGCTGTTGTAGAGGAAATGAGGGAAAGATTCACTGACAGTTCTAATCAGGAGTGTGAGCTCTACTGATCTTTGTTCTAGAAAGTTTATTCCAGTTTCCAAATGAGAAAGAACTGGAAAAACTGGTCATCTCCAAAGGTGGTGACGTTATAGCTCTTCCACTCAAAGTGTAAACAAAATAAAAGTCCAACCTCATTTGAGAGATTTATTAAATATAGCGCATCTCCTCTTAATGAAATCAGTGAGAATGAAATTTAGAAAACAAGAAATGACCCAGAAAAATAAATAAAATAGAGTGACCTAAAATCATACCTCTTACAGGATCAAAATGAGAGAAAAAAACAAATGTCTTGAAAAAAACAAGGCAGTATACCAAGATGGTCATCAAGTGTTGTTGGCTCTGAGAGAGGGACCTGGTGTTGATGATGTTATAGATTGTACCGTGGGAAACACGTAACCACACATGTGGGATGGTGCTTGGCACAGAGTAGAGGTTCAATCAACATTCAAGACTGAGTGAAAATCAGCCGGTTTCCCCAAGTTCTAGATCTAAATATTCTATTTAGTAGGTATAAATTATAACTATCAAGGTCTTCTGAGAAAACATGTTTTTAAAATTTTCCTGAAACATGATAGTAAATTTGTTGTTAGTACTACCAAGTTGATTCCATATTCTAGCAACCTTTGTACAACAGAGAAGAACCCTGTCTGGTCTTTTTTGTGCCACTCTCTTATTCTCTGCTACTATACAAGACAATGCTTTGCTACTGTTCATGAGGTTTTCTTAGCCGCCTTTTCCTAAGTGGATGGCCAGTTCCTTCTTCCTAGTCAGTGTTAGTCTGGAAGTTCCACTGAAAACTGTCCACCATGGGTGACCCTGCTGATACCGGTGGCATAGCTTTCAGCATCACAGCAACATACAGTTGCCATGATATGACAAACAAGAGATGGGTGGTGTGGTTCTCAGACAGGGAAACAAACCTAGGGCCTGGTGGTGAGAGCACTAAATCTTAACCACTAGACCACCAGGGCTGGTAGTCAATAAATAAGGGTTATGAATATTTCTCACTGTTATAATAATTACTTTTGAAGCTGATGGCCCTTCCCCCTTGAGTTCCTGTCACTGCATTTCTCAACTTCCCTACATAAGGCCCAATACTATCCTGCAATCTTTGTCTTCAGGTCCCCCTTGGTCTCTTCAATCTTAGTTCCAATGGTCTTTCTTATAGTCTCACTCTCCCTAATTCCCTTAGACAATTAGGGACATCCAGACTTGCAGAAGTGTCCATAAGTGTGAACTAGGAAGCGGAGAGAAGCATAACAGAACCCCAGCCCACTGATGAGAGGGTCTTGTTATCCCCAAATCCTTTTCTTATAAGCAGGCCATAATTTCTCACCACTCCAGGTTATATGGCTGCCTTCCTGGCCTGAGTCTTGGATCCCTCACTTGAGGGGTCAGACCCCTCTCAGACTGGGGGACTTAGGAGCTCAGATCCAAGCCATAATTCAGCACCATGGACAGCATCATCCCGTTGCCTGCAGCTCACCAGGTCTACAATCTGTCTTGGGAGGAGAGACATCTCGTTGTGTGCTGACCTATCTTCACTGCATCCCAGACAAATTGGTTCAAGATAAGGCTGGATGGAGGGATGTGTTCAGTATATCCTAGTAAACAAAGGATCCGGACACACACCTCATTTTTAGGTCATCACCCCACAATTCTGGGAATTGATGTGAACTACCCTGCTGTATGATGTTTCCTGGAGTTTATGTGACCACAGAAACCATCCAACTCAATGTCTCCTATGAGTGTGGGGCCAGGACTCCCAGAACCCTGAATGGAATACGGAGTCCAAGGAGAGTTCAGGGCTTGGGATACTCAGTTCCTGGTTCCTGAAGACCAGATGAAGAGAGGGTCCTGAGGGATTCCATAACCCACCTTCTTTTCTGTTTTTGTGGTTCTAGAAGTGGGGATAGCCAACACTGATTCACCACTTTAGAGGGAACTATTACATTTCAGTCACAGACACTCCATTCCCGTGGACATCATTGCCTTTAAAGGACATAGTACAGATAATAAATATTCTTTCTTCTCTGGGACTAGTTGAGAGTGGAGTCTCTGCCACCCCATAGTAGAGCTGGATTCCCAAGTTCACATAATGAGAAGGATGAGGTCATACATGGGATGTCCTCTTTACCCTACAGTCATCTTTCTCCCCACAAACCTTCCTGATCAAACCATAATGAACTCAAGATCTCCACTGAAATCCCTCAGATATCACACAGGTAAAGGCTTAGAGCCCAAGGGATGGGAGCAACAGCCCCAAGTATTCAGAGGATAGAATACAAACAGGTCCCAGAGCCCAGAGCTTCTCTGGGAAAGAGAGACTTCAAACACTGGTTCTTATGGAGTAAACGTGTCTCTAGTCAATAGATGATAAATAATTTAATGGGAATTCTTTGCTGAGGCAATAAATATGAGCTTTAGAATAGGAGAAACTTGGATTCAATTTTGGTTTCTCCACTTACTAATGGGGTAACAATTGGAATGTATGTCACTCTACCTCTCGGTGCCTCAGTGTCCTGCTCTAAAAAGTGGGGAAATAATAAGCCTTTTCTCACAAAGATGTTGTGATACACATAAGCACAGTACACAGGTCCTGATACTGGCGTGTGTTCACTGTGGGCTGGTTCTTTACCCTATGAAAATGCAAGTTCCTGCTGGCAACTTAGCCTGATGCTCAGAGTGCCAAGGCCCATCATGTATTAAATGAACACAGGACATTTCAGTAAAAGGAGAGAAAATTTCACCAGCAGCATCCAAACCAAGAAATAAATAAAACATCACACCATATACTTCTATATGGGCTCATGTGGAAGGAATCATAAGTTTGTAGTGTGGCACAAAAAATATCCTGACCTTGAATTGTTCCCTCTACTCCAGAAGTAGGAATATAAGGGGGAATGTTCGACTGAGAAAGGTATGCGAATTTTCACTGAGATCTCGCAATAGGCACAAATCCTCCCCCATATGAGTGGACAGACCTGGATAAAATCAATGAAAAGTCTTCCAGAGAAGAATCTTTACATGTCATTGGGGCTGTCTCTGAGAGATACCAGAGCTTACCATCTTCCATTACACTCTTTTGAATTGGGGTTCAAGCAGAAGCCCCAATGTAGGATACAGATGTGGGTTGGTGGAGGGGACTCTAGTGAAGATTGGAGCATCAGAAAAGGGAGTAGAGCCTGGACCCCAGGATGTGTGTGCTGAACCTCATTTGAGTTCTACCCTCTTTTTGTCCCCTTGGCTTCCCTCAACCCCAGACACTTAGGTCTCAGAGAAGTTAATTGAAAGCAACACTCGCTCCTCAAACACTAGCTCAGAATGGAGGGTGCAGATACAGTGTCTGGACAGACTGCCTGTGTTAACTATGAGAATATAAAAAGTAATCACATGAATACTTTGCAGACATGCTACAGTGGAAAGGAGGAAGAAAGACAGAAGACTGTGCAAGCCAAAGAACCCAGTCTGGAAGCACTAACAATGCAGGAACAGAAGAAGATTTCTTTCAGGTGTTTGCAGTACAGAAGAACTTAATAAGACAAAATTCTGACTCAGCGTAGCTCAAGAAAAATGTGAATAATTGTTAAATTTATGTGATGGGTTTATTATTTTATTCTCTCTTTGGTACTTTTGTAAAACAAAAGTTAAAATTTGGTGTTCTCCCAGTGCCGTTACTGAAACTTTTTATTTCAGTTTGTGTAATTTCTTTGTTTTTCTCCCCAAAGCCCTAGAACATAGTTGTATATTTTAGTTGTGAGTTTTTCTAGTTCCTCTATGTGAGCCACCACCACAGCATGGCTACTGACAGACAAGTGGTGTGTTTCCGTGCCTGGGAACTGAACCTGGGCCACTGAAGGGGAGCACATCGAACTTTAACCACTAGGCCATCAGGGATGGCTCCAGTTTAGGTAATTTCTATGGATTGATCTGAAAGTTTACTGATTCTTTCCTCAGTTTTGTCAAAAGTCTATTGAGTCTGTCAAAGGCGCTCTTCTTTTCTGTTATCATATTTAAAAAATTTTTACCATTTCCATTTATCTCTTTCTTATAATTTCTGTTTAAATTCTCCATATGATCATGACTTTTGCCCACTTTTTTCACTAGACCTTTTAACCATAATAATTATAGTTACATTCATGTTCCTGTCTGATAGTTCCAACATCTTTGTCATATTGGAATCTGTTGCTGTTGCTTGTTTTGTCTCTTGAAAGTTGGTTGCTATTTCTATTTGTGTGCATTTCATAACTTTTTATTGAATGTTAGACACCATGTGTAGAAAAGCAGAGACTGAGGGTAACAGAATTCATGCCTGGAAATAGGCTTGCCTCTTGTTTTGTTGGGGTGTTAATGTGCAGTTTGAACCAATCCCCTCATAATTGAGCTGGACTTTGGTTTTGTGGTTGGTGTAGTTACCTTCAGTCAGCAGAGTTTCAAATTCCTCTAGTGTTACTTACGATTATGGCTGGGTGGTAGAGGGGTTTTTCAATGTTTTTTTTTTTTTTCCACCTTTAGCTTTTGTCTTCCCACTGACCCTGTTTCTCAGAGAGGTTCTCTCTCCATGTTCTTGCCCCAGTAGATAGATTGTAGTACCAATCATTATCTAGACAGTGTTATTTTGTTGTAAAGGACCAAGAAGAGCGAAGAAATCATAAAAAAGAGAGAAGTTTTGGTATATTCATACCACAAGATATCAAGAACTATTATAAAAGCACAGTAATTAAGGTCACGTGAGACTGTTACTAGGATAGACCAATAGAACAGAGTAGAACATTCAGAACCAAACTTACACATATATAATTGCATGATTTATGACAAGAGCTATACTTCAACACAGTGGGGAAAATACTTTCTATGAATAGTGCTGGATCCATTGGATATGCATATGGGAAAAAATGAATCGTAACACCTATATAACACAATACATGAAAATCCACTACTAATGGTTTGGATACCAAAATATAAATAGTGAAAATTTAGATACTTTGGTAGAAAACCATATGTAAATTCTTGGGGCTATGCATAAATTTCTTAAATAAGGCAAACATTTGCTAATAATAAAGGAAAAGATTGATAAACTTGACTACATTAGAATTAAGAAACTCTTTATAAAACATGCAATGAAGAGGATATTTCCAATAAAAATATCCAGAAAAGGACTTGTTTGCAGAATATTTAAGTATCTGCTAAAAATTGATAAGATAAAGTTCGACAACCAAATAGAAAAATGGACAAATGACTTAAGCCCTTCACAAAAGAAGATATCCAAATTCCCCATAGGTATATGAGTTTCTCAATCACATTCGTCATAAAGGAAACGCAAATTAATCTCACAATGAAATTCCACTTATATTCAGGTTGGTTAAAATGAAAAAACAAAAGGGTCTGCCTGGTGGCGTAGCAGTTAAGTTCACATGATCCACTTCGGCAGTCCAGGGTTCACAGTTTGGATCCAGGGCGTGGACAGATGCACCGCTTGTCAAGCCATGCTGTGGCAGTGTCCCATATAAAATAGAGGAAGATGGGCACAGATGTTAGCCCAGGGCCAATTTTCCTCATCAAAAAGAAGAGGATTGGCAACAGATGTTAGCTCAGGACTAATCTTCCTCACAAAAAAAAAAAAAATGAAAAGAAAAGAAAAAACAAGAAAATGACTGGAACTACAAGTATTACCCAGAATTGAAACCACTGGGACTCTCATATACTCACAATTGGAATGTAAATTTTATAACCATTTTGGAAAACTGTTTGACAAACCTACTAAAACTGAATATGTACATAACCTATTACTGATAAATGCCACTCTAAGAAACATACCCAACAAAAGTGCATATACATACCATAAGACATGTGTATACTAGCACTCTTCATAATAGATCCAGACTAGAAATAACCCAAACAACCCTCAAAACTAGATGGGTTATAGAGCATATGGTATATACACACAATGGAATTCTTTCAGCAGTGAGAATGAATGAACTGCTGATGTGTGGGTAACTCTCACAAAAAAAGGTTGAGCATAAGAAACCAGACACAAAAGAACACATACTAGAAGATCTCAATTACATAAAAATCAAAAACAAATAAAACTAATCAATAATGACAGAAGTCATTACGGTGGTCACTTTTTTTTTTTTTTTTGTAGGGGGTAGTAACTAAGAAAGGAGGTTGGTGATGCATCTTGATCTAGGTGGTTGTTCCAGGAATGCCATCACTATGAAAATTGACCAAGCATATCCTTATAATCTTAACTACTTTCTCTATGTATGTTTTCCTTCAATGTCTTTGCTTTAAATACAACATAAGAGGATATGTAACATAAATATATGCTAATTATATTTAAAATTTAGATGATATAGAAAAATTATAAGAAAAATATAATTTACTGAAACTACCTTAAGAAGAAATAAGAACCCAAAAATCTCTGTGTCCATAAAGGATTGATTCAGTGGGAAACATTGTTTTCCAGGGGAAAAACTATTCATTGGCAAGTTCTTCTGAATGTGTAAGAAAAATAGTTCCAATTTTTCATAAACCTTTCCGAGTATGAAAGTCACATCAGCCAGTATGATTTTTGGAAGTCTTTTGCTTTCTCTAGACCTATATTGAGTTCTGCATAGTAGGGAAGTGGTAATGGCTGATGTCCAAGAACCTCCGCATCTCTGGCAGCTGTGGGTCTGAAGTTGAACTTATGTGCACAGTTACTATCCTGATCAAAGTCACTGGCTTCCTGTTGCAGTTTACTCCTGTTTTTCCAAAATCATTCTTTTTATATTAAGGGATCCTAGTGACCAGACTGTCCCAGGGCAAATGCCTAGCGTTTATGGTTCAAGAGATATTTCTGCTCCTGATAGTGATGCTACAGTCCATGCTGTAGGAAGACAAGTGGACCAGGACCCAGAGGGGTCCAGGGTGGGGAATGTAGGGTGGAGTCTGAGACTCTGTTTCTCCAGGGGCTTTGTCTCGGGGTCCAGAACATGACTTTAAGGTGCAGGAGCTGGTGATAGTATAAGAAGGATTGTGTGTCCTTGTGCCCTGCACCATTTCCTATCCCAAGTATTACTGGAAGAATTCTGACCCAGCTCATGTCCACTAGTGCCAGGATGGGGCCACTCCCAGACAGGATCCCCCAGTGGCTACAAACAACCTCTTTTAAGAAGCACAGGAGAAGATCCAGGGATGATTATATGACCTTGGTGATCTCCAGACCTATAAATGCTCCCTGAGTGTCAGAGATGTACATAATGGGGACATGTGGGCTCACTTCTTTTGAGTCAAGAGAGGTTATTATATGAAATACAGTTACAAAAATAAGAAGCTGTTCCTGAGTGTGAGGGTTACGGTAAGTTCCAGAAAAGAAGCTTTTTCTCCTCATTCAAGGACTTGGGGGGCATCAAGGACCCCAGGAGGCTCTGGCACTGAGAGCGCCCCTCCAGAAACTGAGGTCAGCCCTTTGTTCTTCCCTAGGTTTGTCTTAAACACATGATATCTGCGTCCCAGGGATTCTGGAATCCTGTTACCCTGGAAATCAGGCCTGCACCACTTTTTGTTCTATTCAGGTCCTCAAAGGATTGGATACATAACTCATAAAACTAACAATAAAACTGGCCTGCAAAGCCAATGTTCAGCATTTACACACAGACAGACAGACGCACAGCTGGGCATTGGGAATTCCGAGTACTGAGACAGGCCGTTTCCTGCCCTTTGCACTCGGGAAGATGGGGCTTCCGTGAACAGGCAAATGGCCCTAGTTGTCAGGTCAAATAGATCCTGGGTCTTGTCTTAGTAGGAGTGAAATACAACAGATGCTTTTTTTTCTGGGATCTTTTGCATGTCACTGTAAATATATCTCTAGCCACCTGTGTCCATCTGTGTCACGAATACATGTACCAAGGCTTGATGGTCCTTGTCCCCTGAAGTCCAGCCAGTGGCTTTCCCCAACACCCTCCTTGCCTCCCGGCAGTCAAGCAGCTGTTATGTCCTCCCAGGGAAGTGAGCCAATGGGTCATCCATGATGTGCAAGAGCTGCAGTAACACCTGCCCCTCCACTGACCCTCAGAGCCTTGTGGCTGCTGCTTCAAATTCTCCCTTATCTTGTGGCCAACTTTAACCTGGAAGCAAATAGGGAAGAGGATTCTGGGAAATGTAGTTCCAGCCTGGCAAAGCCTCCACAGTTATCTTCACAGAAGATCTCAAATCAACGTTTGAAAGTCATCCTTTAAATAGTATCTGGAAAAATTCGTCAAGCAAGTAGACATCCAATTCTCCCTTTTCCCCATTAGCTATAATTTGTGTGGGATATTGTTTCATTTATCTCTTGCTGCACATCAAACCACCCTAAAACCCAGTGGCCCAAACATTTATTCTATCTCATCATTATGCAAATTGACCAGAGCACAGCGGGGCAGTTTCACTCCTAATTTTGGGGGGTTCTTCCAGGCAGTCATGTTCGGATGGTGTTGGTGACCGGGGCTGGACATCTGACTCCTCGGCGTTCCTCTACGTAGCATTTCTATTTCTCTCCATCAGAGTTCCCTGGATTGCTTACACAGATGCCCAGAAATCCATGAAGCAGGAGTGGAAGCTGCCAGGCCTTCTTAATATCTGAACCATTTAAGTCTCAGAACATCTTGTTCTCCACATTCTATTGGTAAAAGCAGTCATGGGCCCAACCCATGTTCAAGAGGAGCAGGTAATAATAACAAACTCTATCTTGTAACACGAGAAGTGCCATGTTTGTATAAAGGAGGGGCAGGATTGCTTGGGGTTGTTTTTGGAGACTAGTTCCCAAAGCTACTCACCTGTCTGAGTATCATCTGCCTCCTCTGTCTGATGAAGGAGATCACCCCTCTCTGTCAGGGATGTTGGGGAAATGAAAGTGGAACAGATATGTAAAGGGGCAGTCCAGAGCCTTCACCTACCCAGCCCTTGGACCAGTGACAATAGCCTGGTATTGCTCACAGGACATTTCTGAGAGTGGACAGGACAAGGAGGAGATGCAGAGGTCTTCCCCTTCCCTAAGTCCTTCCTCCCAGATAGGATTGAGCCCTCCATAGAGCATCTACCATCTTGATCATCTTGACTCCAGACATTTAGTCCATGTGCTGTGTGATCAGGCCCCTCCACAGAGGTGCAGACATCTCCAAAGTCAGCACTCAGTTCTGATTCAGAACCATGGACAGCACACTTGCCCTTTCCCAGGGGGATCCTCAAGGGCCAAGTAAGTCCTGGACAGAGAGACAGCCCCCGATGGGCAAAGGCCTGACTCCTGCTGGAGGATGGTGGAGTTGATCACAAACAGAGCACAGAACTTGGTAGCTGGGGTAGGATCTCCAGCACAGTGGGGAAGTGAGTGGAACAGAGAACATAATACCTAAGAGTTCAGGAATTTCCAGGGTACTAGGATCACCTGTGGAATTCACATCCCTTGTGACTGACTGAGAGTCTCTACCATATCTACTTGGCCCATTCCTCCCTGGGACTCATCTTCCAGTCCAGAAGAGCAAGAGCCCCACCCACCACAAGTGTGCTGCCCCCATCACAGCCACCTACCCTATCACACTGGAATTGTCAGATGACCTGTCTGTCTCCCAACCAGATGTTGCTCTCCTCAAATACAAGAGCTAGATCTGCCATATTCACCCCTTTACTGGAAACCTGAAGGCACAGTGTACATGTGTGTCGAATGAATGAATGAATGAATGAATGAGTGAATGAAATCTCCTCTTTCATCCCTTGGGAAGAGTTGGTATTCTCCCCTCTCAAATTAAGATGAGCTTCCAGTCTCCCAGCCCGACGAATCCTGGGAAGACAAAGATGGATGAAGTGGATTCCAGTGTAGACAATGGTATATGAGACAAAGCACCTGTGTGGTTCGGGTAATTCACTTGCACACTCTGGACCTCAGTGTCTTCTGCAAGTTGGAGAAGTAGGGCTAGATGTCCCACAGCTCTGATGGCCTGTGGATATTAAGTTCCTCTTTTGCACACAGTTGTATTCTTGGTAGATTCTGCATGCCTGTCCTTCCCATTCTTCTGCTTTTCTTTGAAAATTGGATACCATGGGAAACAGACTGGGCATGGCCAAGCCCTTCTGACCACAGATGCTGCATCTATCCCTGCAGGGAGAGAGGGAGTGGCTAGCACAGGTGGGTCAGCAGGAGGATGGGGTGCAGGATGAGATTCCAGCTGAAAATGCAGGAAATGGTGATGATGTGGGAGTGCCTATGCATGCTCAATCCATACACTTCCCTTCCCTATGATCACAGCACTAACTCGACTCTGGGTTTTGGGTATTAGTTCTTGAAAGGAGATAATATGGGATTGGCAGGTTCATGAAGTTGAACAGAAGAAAACAGACTGTAATTTTTCTATGTATACGAAGTCTTAAAAAAAAACACGTGCAAACCTATAGTATTAAAAGAAGCATGATTGATGATAAAACTACAGAGAAAAGCAACAAATCAATTGGCATTACAGTGAGGCTGGGGCTCCCTGGGGGAGTGGGGTGTGGGGATAGAGAGCAGGACCAAGGGGGAGGTCCTGGGTGACCCCAAAGTTCTGTTTCTTGGAGGGTGTTCATTATGCCATGAGTCACTGAGCTGTTCTTGTGGCGGCACTTCTCTGTATGTGTCTTTTTTCCTCAAAACAATGTTTCAGGAAAACCCACATGGGTCTGAGGAAGCACCACCTCCCAGGACTCCCACCACTTCCTCCCAGTCCCCACCACACAGTTGAAAATAACCTCCTGTGAATTCAGGTGTACGTCTCTTCTCTCACGAAATCCTCACCCCTCAGGGGTGGACGACCCCCAGGCTGGTGTTCCTCCCTGTGTGTCTTCTGCATGTGTCTCCATGTCTTCATGTCACAGGTAGCTCAAGGTGCTGGGACAAGTCTTGTTCCCTGCTGGACGGTGACTCTCAGGGCAAGGTTCAGGGCTGCTGTGTGACCTCCTGAGCAGAGGGGTTATGCCCACCAAATGGATGCTGAGGGAGTGAGGACAGTCAGCCTCCCTCATCTCCTGGGTCCCTGAGTCCCTTCTCTGGCTGAATGGACGTCCACAGACATCTACAGCCTGAGAATCAGTAGGTTTGACCAGAAGGGATGTATTTCACTTTGCAGAAAATGACTCTCCAAGGGGAAGGGCATTGACAGGGAGACAAGAGATGGGGCTCTGGACATGCATGGGATTTGAAATTGGGTAAAGCACTCACCTTTCCTGGCCAGGGTACCCAGGAGTGGACACAGTAGCGGGTGAATGGTTGACTGACTCCAAGGGCTGTCCCAGCCCCGACAGTTTCTGAGTCTGAAGTTCCTCCTCTGAGGAGGGTCATTGTTGTGACCTCACCCTCATCTTCCTGTTGGAGCCTCCTCTAAATCTGCAACTTTTAATTCCTGAGAGTCAACCCTGAGAAACAGACTTTCCTTGGTGGAACTTGGGACTGCCCACCCCAGACATGCTTCTGCTGATGCTGCTGCCGGCCCTGCTCTGGTGGAGGGAGGGGGCTGAGGGCCAGAGGGAGCCCTGGAAAAATTACAAGGATTACCAACTGCAAGTGCAGAGGTTGGTTACGGTGCAGGAGGGTCTGTGTGTGCGGGTGCCCTGCTCCTTCTTCTACCCCCAGGACGGCTGGAATGACTCTACTCCAGTTCATGGCTACTGGTTCCGGGAAGGGGCTGATGTATTCAAGGATGCTCCAGTGGCAACAAATAACCCAGATAGAAAAGTGCAGGAGGAGACCCAGGGCCGATTCTACCTCTTCGGGGATCCCTGGACCTACAACTGCTCCCTCGACATCAGAGATGCCAGGAAGAGGGACAACAGAAAATACTTTTTTAAAGTGGAGAGGGGAAATACTGTGAGATATTCTTACATACGTAACCAGCTATCTGTACCTGTGACAGGTAAGGGCCTGGCTCCTGGAGTCATCACAGGGATTGGACATGGGGGCAGAGCTGGGATGGGACTCTCCCTCCTGGGAGAGGGTTTGTGAGTATGTTGTGTCAGGGCTCAGAGGGTGGAGCTGGACAAAGCCTGAGACTTCTCTCAGGACCACACCTCAGACTCTCCCTCCTGATTCCTGTGTCTCCCCCTCTTCTCACCAGCCCTGACCCACACACCTGACATCCTCATCCCGGGGACCCCGGAGTCTGGCTGCCCCAGGAATGTGACCTGCTCTGTGCCCTGGGCCTGTGAGCGGGGCACGCCCCCCATCTTCTCCTGGACATCAGCTGCCCTCACCTCCCTGGGTCCAAGGACCCACCTCTCCTCAGTGCTCACCCTCACCCCACAGCCCCAGGACCACCGCACCAACCTCACCTGTCAGGTGACGTTCCCTGCAGCTGGTGTGACCGTGGAAAGAACCATCCAGCTAAATGTCACCTGTGAGTGCTGGGCCAGGATTCCTGGGTCCCTGAGTGTGTGACAAGGCAAGAGAGCCAGGCTGGGGATGCTTCATGCTTTTGTCTGGGGTTCTGGCTGAGTAGGGGACCTAGAAGGACACAAGTCCTGTCCCTCTTGTTTTTCTGTGGATTTTGAGGGTGGGAGGAGAATGCCTACACTCCTCTCACCCCATCCCTCCCTCTGACTGAAAGGGAAATCCACTGTTCTCATCCTAGGTGCTCCAGAGAACCCAGCAATCGGTGTCTGTCTAGGGGATGACACAGGCAGGAAGGAGTTCCCTCCTGGGCTATAGGAAGCAGTGTCTCTTCCAGCTCATATCAGGGCCGGGTCCCTGCCAAACGCTGGACTCATCCTGGTGATCAGAGATCCCTTCTGAATGGACCCAGTGGTCCCCACCCCATCTTCAGCCCACATGGACTCTGTGAGCAGCTGTCCCCATTGTCCCTTCACTCCCCTCAGACTTCTCCACCCCTCCTTGTCTCCACAAGGAGAACAGGGCAACATTCACAGTACAGCCCACCTCTCAAGGCCAATTAACAGCCATCTCCTGACGATTCCTCCCACCTTGTCTTTTTATTTTTCCCTAATACCTTGTAATTTACATATTTTTGGACTGGCAGTATATTTTCACATGGCCAAAAATTCAAATACACTGCAGAGTCTGTCCTCAGATGCCCAGTCCCCTCCTGGGAAGTGACCAGTGTCCATAGGCTGCTCTGAGCCTTGGCTTGTTCACCTAAAGTTTCTCAGGGGTCATTTGATGTCAGAAGTACAGACCGTCTTCATTCTTCTCTGTGACGGTAGAGTATTCTATGGCCTGGATGGATTCTGATTCTGTACACATCTTCTACTAATGGAAAATCATGGCATTAAGTTTATTTTACCAGTAGAAATGCTGCAATCTGTAATCTTGTATCTGCTTTCACACGTTTGTGTATATTTATGACTGTGGGATAAGTTCCTAAAAGGAAAATCACTGGATCACTTGTTCTTCTATATTGAGAAACATGGCCAAGCTGCTCTCCATCAAGGGTGGACAAGTGTACCTTCCCAATATTGAGGGCTGAAAGTGTGTGTTTTCAGCAATCCAGTGTGGGGTGAACTCTTGTGATCTTTTCCAGTAGCAGATGAAAATCGGTATCTCCATGCAGTTTTTTAAATTTATATGCATTATTTTATTATGAGGAAAAAGTCATGAAAAATAAAATCACTATCTGAGCCATTTTCAAGTGTACAATAGGTGGCGTTTAGTACCTTCACAATATTGTGCAACAATCACCACTGTCTAATTCCATCCATCAACATTTTCATCACCCCCAAGAGAAACCCTGTGCCCATGAATCAGTCACTCTCCACACTCCCCTCCCCCAGCCCCTGCAACCACTAATCTGCTTTCTGTCTCTATGGATTTGCCTATTGTGGACATTTTGTGTAAGTGGAATCATACAAAACGTGGCCTTTTGTGTCTTGTTGCTTTCACTTCATAAAACGTTTTCAAGGTTGATCCACGTAGCATGTATCAGTAATTCTTTCTTCTTTGTTTGAGTAATATTCCATTGTATGGATGTGCCATATTTTGTTCATCCATTGATTAGTTGATGGACACGTGGATTGTTTCCACATTTTGCCTATTGTGAATAATGCTGCTATGAACATTGGTGTAAATGATTTTGTTCAAACCTGTGTCTTCAGTTGTCTGGGGCGTATGCCAAGGAGTGGAATTGTTGGGTCGAATAGTCATTTCTACGTTTAAGTTTTTGAGGAAATGCCGGACTGTTTTCCACAGTGGCAGCTCCAATTTACATTCCTACCGGCGATGTACGAGGGTTCCAATTTCTCCACATCCTTGCCAACCTTGTTTTCCTTTTTGTTAAAAAAAAAAAAAAACAATTATAGCCTACTAGTGGATGTGAAGAGCCAGCCCTGGTGGTCTAGTCGTTAAGATTCGGCACTCTCACCACCACAGCCTGGGTTCATTTCCCAGTCATGGAATCACACCACCCACCTGTCATTGTTGTACTGTGGTGGCTGTGTTTTGCTGATGCTGAAACCTCTGCTGCCGGTATTTCAAATACCAGCAGGGTCCCCATGGTGGACAGGTTTCAGCGGAGCTTCGTGTCTAGACAGACTAGGAAGAAGGACCTGGCCACCCACTTCTGAAAAACTTGTTCATGAAAACCTTTAGAATGTTAGCAGAACGTTGTCTGATATAGTATAGAAAAGGGAGAGGATGGTGCAAAAAGACTGGGCAGGGTTCTCTCTGTAGCTCACAGGGTTTCTAGGAGTCAGAATTGACTCCAGGGCACTAACAATAGGTGGGTGTGAAGGGGTATTTCATCGTGGTTTTGATTTGCAATTCTGTAATGACTAATGATGTTAATTTTTTTATGGACTTATTGTCGTTTGTATATCTTCTTTGGAGAATGTTTTTTTCAAATCCTTGGCCCATTCTTTAATTGAATTGTTTGTCGTTTTGTTGTTGAGTTGTAAAAGTTCTTTATATGTGCTTGATACTACACTCTTATCACATCTATGATTTGCAAACATTTTCTCCCATAAAATGGGTTGGCTTTTCACTTTGTTGATGGTGTCAATTGATGAACAAAAGTTTGTCATTTTCAAGAAATCCAACTTATATAAATTTTTCTGTGTTCACCTGCTGGAAGGTCAGAACATGGGGTGGGGTGAGGCCCCAAAACAGGTGGTCATGCATCCAGTGATGGAGGAAGGCCTGGAGACCCAACGTCCAGGGTCCTATTAGGAAACAAAGGACGCAGGACTGGGGAGGAGCAGGTGAATCCTTATCTCACTTTCCAACAGGGAGGTCAGGGCTCATGGCAGGGGTGGTTCTGGTGGCCATCGGGGAAGTGGCTCTGAAGACCCTGCTCCTCCTCCTCTGTCTCATCTTCCTCTTGTGAGTATTGTTCCCTGGGGAAGGGCAGGTGTGGGGAGGGCAGGGGGGACCTGACCAAGTCCAAGAACCAGTGCTGAAGGGTCCTGAAAGGGCCAAGGGGTGGGGCAGGCAAAAGGCTGATGGGGGCAGGGGGAGGAGAGAGGATCCGCACCTGCAGCCCTCACACCCTCCCACCGAGTGTCCAGGTGGGGAGATACCTGTGTGCTGAAGATGGTCTGTGGGACCAGATCCGCCCTCTCCCACCTCAGTCACCCCTCCAGCCTCTGTACAGGGAACAGGAAGGTTGAGTGTGCCGCCCGCTGCACTGTGATCTCACCAGACTGAAAGTCCCTGGTCTCTTCTCTCAGAATGAGGTCCCGCAGGAGGAAGGAAGAGAGGCCCACAGGGGGCATGGAGGATGCAATCATTATCCCAGGGAAATCCCTCAAGTGAGTGATGTGGGTGTCTAACCACCAAATATCCTTGCACCTCTCCCAGAACAGCCCCAGGATTGCTCTGCTCAGCATGCCAAAGTTGAGCTGTCGCCTTCCTCCCCAAACCCACTTCTCTGTTCAGTTCCCCATCACACTAAAAACACCATGGCCCCATCTCTAAGACCAAAATTGTATTGTAGCTCTCCTTTTTTGACCTCCCTCCCTTCTTTCTGATCCAATAAATCATGAAGTCTTGCCCATCCTTCCTCCTAATCAGAGCTTATATTGCTGCCCGTCTCCTGCCCATCCTGACCCTGATCATCCCTGCCCCCTCCTCTCTTCCCTGGGTCTCTAAACCCACCTCACCTCCTGCCTTCATCTCTCTCCTCAACACAGGCATCAAGACTGTGTTTCCAGAGGCCATCATCATCCATGTCCTGTACAGTGTGAACAGCTACATGTCCTCTCCACGGCCAGAGCCCGAGTTACAAACACCACAGGCTGGATTTGAAGACTTTGTGTGGTCTGTCCCCTGCTGGACCCTCTCTCCAGATCCCTCCCTCTCCCTGCAAATGGCAACGTCTCCACCCCCAGCCAGGCCAAGGCCTCTGTGACTCCGAGATTGTGGATGTGCAGTTCCTTCTCCTGAAATGCCCTTCCCTCCCCATTCCTTCCTCACCAAGTCCTGCTCATCCCTCAGGCTTAGTCTTAAATGTCACCCAGTGTGTGTGTGTGCAGGTGCACTCGCAAGTGTGTGTAATTCTTGTATTTCTGAGCAGAGTGACAGTCAGTCATTTATTTATAGACAGTGAGCAAGTATTTTTGAAGACCTACTATGTGCCAACATTATTGTAGGTGCCAGGCTTGCATCAGAGAACATAGCATCCAAAATCTCTGTCATCAAGAAACTGTCATTCTGGAGACAAGAAGGATAGAAATCAAAAGAAATAAATAAGGAATAACTTTCAAGCATGTTGGATGGTAATGTGTGCTTGGAGAAAAATCATGGAGGGAAAGGAGCACATGACATATTGGGGACAGTTTTCTACATCTGAGAGTATGAGGAGTGATATTGGAGCAAAGACTTAACATGGTAAGAGGGCGCATTCTGCGTTTCCCTGAGACAAAATTATCCAGGAAAAGGGAAGAGAGAGGACAGCGAGTGGAGCAGTCTGAGGCAGAAGCATGCCTGGTGTGTTGGGGAAACAGGAGGGAGAAGTCTGACAGCAGAGGGAGGCACAGGGAGGGGAGGAGCTGGGAGGATGGTGCAGACCCTGTGCTGGTGCAGAGCTTGTGAGGCCGTGCAGGAAATGCAAGAATCTGGATGCCTTGGAGAATACGACTGAACTTTCATTTTCACAGGAGCCCCATGGCTGCTCTGTTCAGAAAAGGCCAGAGTGGGTCCACAGAGCAACACAGAGATTGGGAAGGGACTCCTGAATTCTCCAGGCAGGAGGTGATAGCGACTTGAACCAGGGAGATGGTGGGGGAGAGTGAGGGTTTGTGTTTAGATGTATTATGAAGATGGAACTAGCAGGGTTTTCTAATGGACGTGGGGAGTGAGGAGAGAGAGGAGAAAGGATGATGCCCAAATGTTTCCCCTGATGAACTGGAGGGATGGAGTTGTGTTCCATGGAAGACGTCAGAGAGAAGGGTTTGGAAGGGGGATGTTCATTCTGAGAAGCCACTTGATAT